TATTAGCAGCCAGGCGCAGTGGCTCACACCTGTAATCCCAGCGCTTTGCGAAGCCGAGGTGAGAAGATCACAAGGTCAGGAGTTGAAGACCAACCTGGCCAACATGGTGAAACCCCATCTCTACTAAACATACAAAAAATTAGCCAGGCGTGGTCATGCACCTATAGTCCAAGCTACTCAGGAGGCTGAGGCAGGAGAGTTGCTTGAACCCGGGCAGTAGAGGTTACAGTAAGCCAAGATTGAGCCACTTAACTCCAGCCTGGGCAACAGAGCAAGACTCCATCTCAAAAAAAATTATATATATATACACATATATATACACAATTATTAGCTTATTCTTGGTCACCAAGTGTTAATGTATCAAGAGACCCAACCAGACTCAGACACACTGGAGAAGGGCGTTTGGCTGTCCCACTCACAGCTTTCTGGAGAACTCGGTGGAGTCTACAGTTCTCATTGCCTGTAAAAATGACCTGATCTGAAGTTTCTAGATAAAAAGATAATGTCAGAATTATTCTTTCACTTAACCAGGTAAGAAAACCCAAGGCCCACAGCTCCTAAGCTGGATGATAGTGGCAAAATAGATGGGACCGGAAAAGGAAAGTCAAACTAAGAAAACAGAGTACTTTTGTGACGGGAAAGAACTTAGAAGAAAATTCATTTAACAATAAAAGTTTGTTACTGATTATCAACCCTTTTCTGACCACGTCTTCAAAGGATGAATTTGGTATTTCAGATTGGAAAAAAAGTTTAGCTTCTGGTTGCTTCTCTGATCTTTTCCCACTGACTCTGCTATATTTGACTGTAGACATTATAAAGACAGTCTCTGAGAACATGTGTGGTATTTTGCTGTTCAAAGTCTAGCTAGGGCCAAGATATGTGGGTAAGATGCACTTTTTTTGGATTTTTTTTTCTTTAATCTTCCAACAAAGATTGGTCCCAACTTTGCATGTACTCCTTATGTTATTCAAATATCCTTGCCAATCTTTCACATGCTATCTTTGGCCAGTGTTCCCCTCGAAAGATAACTGAAAAAAAATATGCTTTTTTGGTTTGTTTAATATCTGAAGTAAAACTGATGCAGCTGAGCTTGGCTTTATCAGCTCAGGCATTTTTGGATGACTTGGTCTCTCTGATTCACTCTATGAAACAAGATGCCCAATTGTTTCAACATTTCAATTTATTTCAGATTGTTTTTGACTTGACTAGTCAAAACACTATTTCATGGGCATTATTTGATGTGTTAGTACCCAGTGAAATTTTTATACTGATATTTTCTCCTTAGAAAGAAGAAGTCATTTTTCCCTAAGATATAAACATTCTGTGGGCAAGCAGCTAAGACCATATACCCTGAAGTCCTTTGTAATTCTGGCTTTCTCTGATAAAACTGTTTAGCCCAGTGAAACATTAAATATGTAATAAAAGTAAATACAATAAACATTCGAAACTCCTTCCTACCCCTTCTCAGTATTCAGGTTCTGGAGTTTACAATCTCATGTACCCTGTACTCTGCCTCTGCATTCTCGAATTCTTATGCTTTCTACCCCAAATAGCTGCAGGACTCCATTTAAATCCTATTTGATTCTTTTTACAGCTGAAACAGGACCCCTGAGGTCATTTCTAGACTAACCCTATGCCTGATATGTGAGAATGTCCTCATCACACTCACCACTCCCAATTATTTTTAAACTGACTCTTCAAAGTTAAAAAATGTAACAGAGCCATAGAAATAGAAATGCTAGAACTTGCCTGTTTCTTTTTATCTTTCAGAGGAATGGTATTTTTTAAACACAAGCTTATGTCAGACATTGAACAGTCTCCACATGGGAATGTATGTTTTGATTAAAAGTTATTTAATATCTCTGGTTCCTTGGCATTATGCCTCAAGCTGGAGATATTCTTAGCTGCAGGTCTTGTGCCTTCTTTGACTAGATTAAAAAAAAAATGGCTCAAAATCTAGAGAGAATAAATGGCATTCTGAAAATAGTTACTTGATTGTATATGTGTTTATATCACAGAGGATACTGATGTGTTGAGAATTAGGAATTAGAAAAGAATGTTGGTAAGGAGAAATGCATCAAAGCAACATCTTTCTATAGCTCTGTCACTGTGTCCATTGATTCCCAATGCTCAGTCTTTTGGTTAAACTTGGTTTTAGGGAGTTACATTCATATGACAGACCTTAAGAATAGAATTTTATGTAATCTTTATATAAAGTTTTCTTAACTTACATTTGTATTTAGATCAACAAGGTTAACCAAAAGACATTTAAGCATTGTGGTACTTAAAATATGATCTTGGGCCGGGTGTGGTGGCTCACGCCTGTAATCCCAGCACTTTGGGAGGCCGAGGTGGGTGGATCACCTGAGGTCGGGAGTTCGAGACCAGCCTGATCAACATGGAGAAACTCCCTGTCTACTAAAAATACAAAATTAGCTGGGCATGGTGGCACATGCCTGTAATCCCAGCTGCTCAGGAGACTGAATCAGGAGAATCGCTTGAACCTGGGAGGCAGAGGTTGCGGTGAGCTGAGATCATGCCATTGCACTCCAGCCTGGGCAACAAGAGCAAAACTCTGTCTCAAAAAAAAAAAAAAAAAAGAATTATCTTATTTTTTAACTGCTTTCAGTGTAAAATAATGAGCACAGATTCTTATAGCACCTAAATGTGAATATGAAAAAAAGACCTTTATTCTGATATACAAATAGAATTTTGACTCAATAAGTTATTTTATCTTCAGAGTTAGTATTGCTCTCAGCACAACCTCTTTTCTTTATCATTATTTTGAGGCAAAATATTTATAGGACATTGAATTATCTTTCCAGCTTTCCAATGGCATTTCATGCATTTAAATATTGATGTGACATAGTTAGAAGTTGGGCCCTCAGGACCTGTATTGTGTGATGGCATTGTGCTGCTATCATCACAAGATTCCTTTTTTTCCAACCCCCAAGGTCCTGTCTGTACTTGTTTACAGGTCATATGGATAGCAGCTAGTATGTGTTCAATACCATGAGTGTTATCATGGTAACCTTGACAACCAAGCTAGCTCTGATTTCAAAACTTCACATGCTGTATCATAAAATTAGAGAACAGAATTGACATTTAGCTACATGTCTGTCACATAAATTAAGCTCTGAGAACGATTCCCCTTAGAGCCATGTGCCTTAATAGGGAAATAGAAGGCACCAATTAGAACTATTTTATATGTATTATAACACATTTAGGTGCTGGATATATTTCCTCGATTCTTTTTGTATAATTTTGAACCTCAGATATTCTCATTCTATTCTCACTGTGCCAAAATTCTTGGTGGCTTTATTTTATGATCAGAATGAAGCTTATAGCAGAGTCTCATCGGATACCTGATATAAATAGGATTATGAATAATAGAAAACTCAGCCCATAAAAAATGTAAAATTCAAAGCATTCTTGGCTTTACTGGATACTGTTATTTATGCTGATTGTAAGTAAGACTGAGCACAGAATATTTCACTAAGTAAATCAGAATCCCAAAGACAAGACGTTTCCTTTTCATTTATATATTTATGCATATTTTCACTCATATTATCCCAGCATCCAAGAATCTTGGTATCTTTATTCAAGATGATTCTGAACATTCAGATTAATACATTCATCTGCTTTAAGTCCTAGGTCCTCTTTTATAATTTGGAAATATTTTAATCTCAGGATTTTCTCCTCTATTTGTTGTGGTCTGGTGCAGCTTTTCTTGGATATAAATTTAAAGACACAGCTTGTGAATTACATTTAATGTAAGCACCCTACAGTTTTCTGCATTGCAAATGATTATTTTTAGAAATTTTATGGTTGCCTGTGTATATTTGTTTGTCTTCATTGATATGTAGGGGGGAAAGCTCATTAATGATTTAAAAGGAAGGTGTTTTGATTCATCGACTTGATTCTTCTCATTACATAAACAATAAAGGCAATAAATTAACATCAAATGAAACTATAAGAGTTTATTTCTGAATTTAGCCACAAGATAGTCTTGAATCCTTGGGCGTAACTTTTCTTACTCTTTATATCCTTTTGCCTCAGTGTTTTGAATGTCATCATTCAGCACATTTTAACCTAGAATGATGGTTTATAATTCCTGTGAAGGATACCTTTTAACAGATATTTATCAAACACCATAATTGGACAACTGTTTTGTAAAATAGTTCTTTGACTTCTAGAATGGTAAGTTATGATGTAAAAATGGAAGACCCTTATGTCAAAATTTACTATAAAGCAGTTTTTCTTTTCCCCATATACCTGCTTTGTATCTCATATAACATCTGAGAAATCTGCTTCCAATATTTTCTCATCTTGTTAGCCATCAGTCTAATTCTTGCCTAGTTACATGTTAAATATTACCTTCTTGCCTTACTTAGTAAAGAGTCAAAATTCCTGCAAATTCAGGATTTTTCTTTTCGGAAACAGATAAGTGGCTATGCTGTCTACATGTGTGCATAAGTGGGAAGAAGGGCAGAAATCCTTCTGTGTATTTGCTGACCCTGTACAGCAAATACTTGTTACATTTTCAGTAATGTTTAAACTGTTTGCTTTATCTCATTGGGATGAGTCATCATCACCTTTATGTTGTTTAAACTGGTGAAAGGTAGTTTGTATTATTTTCTTTTCTCTTGAAACTATTTCTTGTGATGAAGAGAAATAGTTCAGCATGTTGTGGTTCCAGGACTGAGACAAATTTGGGTTATCATCTCTACCATAAAAAAACTTCATCGGAAACGTCAGTGCATCAGCATTCTGCAGTGCAATATGGACATGAACTGTTAGGCTGTGTTGGTGCTGGAATGTGGGGGCTTATCAGGCTGTTTGCATGACTTCCAAGATGTGTTTTAATATCTGGTCTTTTCTTTTTTTTTAACTGTGACATGAGATGGCATTAGAAGGATGGGGTTTGGGAGGAACCATAATGGTAAAAGAAAAAGAAATGTTAAAAGGCAATACAAGCTTCTTTTGTGATTTCCTTTTAGGTCCGATGTTGTGGTCCTCTGTTTTTCAATCGCTAATCCCAATTCCCTAAATCATGTGAAAAGCATGTGGTATCCAGAAATCAAGCACTTTTGCCCTCGAACACCTGTTGTCCTTGTTGGGTGCCAGCTCGATCTCCGCTACGCCGACCTGGAAGCTGTTAATCGAGCCAGGCGCCCATTAGCAAGGTAAGCCAAGGGAGTCAGTGTTTCCCTGTCCTGGCCAAGTTAAAATTTACAGGCAGCAGGTGTCTCTGTAGCCTGGTGTTCTACTCTTCAACACTCCTGGATCCCATCAATCAGCCATGGGCTTTAAGTCAGCCCATGAATCATGAGGGGTGTGCCCTGAGCCCTTCTAACAGGCACCATCATCTCTGATGTCAGAACTCATTTTTGTCAAATGATTGGACAGCACTTGAAGTAAATTCTCTAATTATGAAAGGATGCGAATAAAAGCGCTTTGAAAAGCATAAAGTATTAGACAAAATGTTGGTTACTCATAATAACGTCGTCCTTGAAATTATAATTATTACAATAAAATTAATTAACACTTAGAGGTATCTGGACTTCAGAGAACATCAGATTCATACAAACACACATATTGAAGTGTTTTTCATCTTCCTTGTATTCCTCAGTCCAACCTGTTACAGTATTTCATTCTCAAGATGACACTGTCCACTTTTTGAAAATAATTTGGGCCTATAGTTGCAAAACAAATACGGCTTTTTAAATCTCTCTAGTGGTTATATTTTTAAGTATCACAAATGTAAAATACAACTTGAAGGAGAATTTGTTTCAGTATATATAAAATGTAGATATTGATTTTGGTGGGGTATATTAGTCCATTCTCATGCTGCTAATAAAGAGATAGTTGAGACTGAGTGATTTATACAAGAAAGAGGTTTAATTGACTCACAGTTTAGCATGACTGCGGAGGCCTCAGGAAATTTACAATCATGCAGAGGGGAAGAAAACACATTCTTCTTTGCATGGCGGTAGGAGAGAGAAGAATGAGAACCGAGCAAAGGGGGACGCCCTTTATAAAACCATCAGATCTCGTGAGAACTTACTCACTATTATAAGAATAGCATGGGGGAAGCCGCCCCCATGATTCAGTTACCTTTCACCGGGTCCCTCCCATCACACATGGGGATTATCGGAACTACAATTCAAGATGAGATTTGAGTGGGGACATAGCCAAACCATATGGAGGGAAATACATTTCTTAAAATGTGAGCTCCCTCAAATCCCCTTTATAAAATAAACAACTTTTTATGTTTTTATTTTTATGTTGAACTTTTTGGCTGGAAAGCGTTCCTTTTCAAAAATTTTTGATATTAATACCTTCCTCTAGGCTGGGCACAGTGGCTCATGCCTGTAAACCCAACATTTCAGGAGGCCAAGGTGGGAGGATCACTTGACGCCAGGAGTTTGAAACCAGCCTGGGCAACATAGTGAGACCACGTCACTAGAAAAATAAAAGTAAAAAAAAGATCAACCAGGACTAGTGGTGCACTCAGCTACTTGAGAGGCTGAGGTGGGAGGATCACCTGAACCTGGGAGGACAAGGCTACAGCGGGCCATGGTTGCACCACTGCACACCAGCCTGGGTGACAGAACGAGACCCTGTCTCAAAAAAAAAAAAAAAAAGCAAACAGCAACAACAACAAACAAAATCTTATTTTGACGTTTACCTAACAGGCTTATTACAAAATTTTATATTGACACAACTTTTTATTCTCTCCAAGCAAAAGTAAATGGTGCTTTCTTTAGACAATTTCTGATGTTCTAGGTATGTTTTGCATTACATTTCTAAAAACACTTTATATTCAGTTTCCACAATCCTTCTGTTCTTCAATGCATGGACTAGGAATTGAATATTAGGAGCCACATAGAGGTTAGGAAGACCACAGTAAATGAGAGACTGTCCTGGCCTCGGCAACTTTCTGTATAAAAAGAGTAGGTTATGATAATCAGGCCTCACAGTCATGGACTGGAGGAGAGTTGCAGAGCTGTAGAGAACAGTGGAGAGGACAATCCCTTCTACGGAGCAATTCTAAGATTTTGTGAAGGAGTTTGTATCTGAGCTAAGCCTCGAAGAGTTTCATCAGTTGGTAAATTTCAAGTCAGTCTTAAGAACAAGGAACACAATGCTCCCAGGAGCAAACTTTTAAGTTAAACCTTCTTCCCTGCATGTCCCTTCCACCTTTGTCCACACCCTATAATTTCCCCTCCTTTCCATCTAAGTCGTCAACTCCAAATTCTATCCAGTATCATCTTTTTCCTCCTAAGACCAGTGTCTGTCCTATATATTACCTTTGGTGTTGAAGGCCAAATAAGAAGATAAGGTCCTAAGGGTATGTGTTAGAATCAAACAAGTGTTTGTAATGAGTGTCACAACAAAGTACTTCCTGCCTGTGTTCTGGAACCCATCTATGCCTTTACCATGGTTATGCCATAACCCCAGCACTGTCCTGAGTCTGCTGTTTCCAAAGATTTGTCCTCTCAGGGTTTGATTAGATTGTAAATTGGACTTGTGCGCCAACCTAAAGGGTATGGACTTTATTCCTGGGGCTTTGTGAAATCAGAGGAAGTTAAAACAGAACTGCCGCCAAGTCATAGCTGTTTTATGTAAGGACTTTTCTTGCAACAGTGAGGACTTTGGACCAAAATGTGGGGAGTGGGAGTGAAGAAAGATTAGTTAAGGGGCTGATACACCAGTCTAAGCAAAAGATGATGACGGCTTGAAGAAGGGATTGGAGGAAAAAAGAAGAGGAGGGTTTGAAAGAGAATTCACAAAATGCAGCAGAGATTAGGAGTGGGAAAGTCTTGACTCTAATTGCTTAGTAGAAGTCTCTCAGCAGCCTGCAAATGTGACCTCAGACAAACCCTTTAACCTTTCTGCCTCAGTTTCCTCAGAATGTAGAACAGAAATAATACCTCACAGGGCTATTGTGAGGCTCAAATGAAAAATGTATATGAATGCATTTTAAAGTTATAAAGTAAAATTCAAGCATAAGATGCTGTTGATAAAGATGAAGGTGATGAAGAGAATAGTGATAATGATGATAACAGCTAACATTTATCAGGCACTTACTGTGGACCAAATACTATGCTTAGCATAGTCATGCTAATAATGTAAACCTTTCAATAGTTCTTCAAGATATGATTACTCATTATTATTGTTATTCCTGTTTTACAGTTGGAAAAACTTATGTTTAATGAGGTTAAGTAACTTACGCAAGATTAAATAGCTAGTAAAGGGATGATACTTCAGTTACTGTGGTTACTGCTGAGAGCATTTGTTTTTTAAAGAAGTAAAACTCTCCCTATTTAGGCACATGGTCATGTAAATGAAAAGTTCTAAGGAATCTACAAAAAGAGCTATCAGAATTAACATATGAATTTAGCAAAATAACAGGATAAAAGGTCAATACACAAAAATCAATTGTATTTGTATAAACTAAGAAATGAACAATTGGAAAATAAAGTTTAAAAACAATACCATGTATAATAACATAAAAACATGGAATATTTATGGATAAGCTTCACAAATTATGTGCATTGAAACTCTGAAATATTTGAAAGCATTATTTTTTCCTGCAATCATAACTCCTGCAATCATAGCTCCAGTTGAAAGACTTGAGATGGTGGCGGATTTTTCCAGAGACTAAAAGCCTGACTAGAGTTTTCAGTGTATAGTTCCATTAGGTGCTTAGATAGGCCCTGGTTACTATTTTTTTCCTAAAATAAGGCTGATTATAATTTTTAAAATGTTCTATTTCAGGCCCATAAAGAGAGGGGATATTTTGCCCCCAGAAAAAGGCCGAGAGGTAGCGAAGGAACTTGGCATACCATACTATGAAACAAGCGTGTTTGACCAGTTTGGGATCAAGGATGTGTTTGACAATGCAATCCGAGCAGCGCTGATTTCCCGCAGGCACCTGCAATTCTGGAAATCTCACTTAAAGAAAGTCCAGAAACCTTTACTTCAGGCACCCTTCCTACCTCCAAAAGCCCCTCCACCGGTCATCAAAATTCCAGAGTGTCCTTCCATGGGGACAAGTGAAGCTGCCTGTTTACTGGACAATCCTCTGTGTGCCGATGTTCTGTTCATCCTTCAGGACCAGGAACACATCTTTGCACATCGAATTTACCTTGCTACCTCTTCTTCCAAATTTTATGATCTGTTTTTAATGGAATGTGAAGAATCCCCAAATTGGAGTGAAGGAGCTTGTGAGAAAGAGAAGCAGAGCAGAGATTTCCAGGAGCAGATATTGAGTGTCGACCCAGAGGAGGAAAGGGAGGAGGGCCCGCCTAGGACACCTCAGGCCGAGCAGTGGAAGTCCTCAAACAAGAGCCTAGTGGAGGCTCTGGGGCTGGAAGCTGAGGGTGCAGTCCCTGAGACACAGACATTGGCCGACTGGAGTAAGGGGTTCATTGGCATGCACAGGGAAATGCAAGTCAACCCCATTTCAAAGCGGGTGGGCCCTGTGACTGTAGTCAGGATGGACGCCTCAGTCCAGCCAGGCCCTTTTCGGACCCTGCTCCAGTTTCTTTATACAGGACAACTGGATGAAAAGGAAAAGGATTTGGTGGGCCTGGCTCAGATCGCAGAGGTCCTAGAGATGTTCGATTTGAGGATGATGGTGGAAAACATCATGAACAAGGAAGCCTTCATGAACCAGGAGATTACGAAAGCCTTTCACGTCAGGAAAGCCAATCGGATAAAAGAGTGTCTCAGCAAGGGGACGTTCTCAGGTGAGTGGGCTGCGGGGCAGAGCCATTAATACCTTTGATTGTATTTCATTGAACATTAGCCAGACATGAGCAGGAGAAAGAAGAACCATAGCTAACATTTATAAGTACTTATTTTTTCCCATGTACCTTTCTGAGCTACAGTCATTAACTTCTTTCATCCTCATCAGACTTAAAGGTTAAATGTGATTGTCTCCATTTTGCAGATGGGGAAACCAAGGGACAGAGAGGTTAGCTAATCTGCCCATGGTCACACCAGCAATAAATGGTAGAGCCAGGATTAGAACCTATGCTTTTGTGGGTATCAAAACCTGTTCCATAAACCACTGTGGTACCACACTGCTCCTCAAGAGTGGATCAGGGACCCCGAGTCTATCTCCAGTGGGCTTGTTGCATACAATTCCCCTTCAGTATCTGTTCTCTGATTAATTCTATTCTCCATTGACCCTTCAGCACTGACCCTTGACAAAAATCAGTGAGCTCAAGTTCTGAGGCCACTAAAGTCCTTGAGGCAATTTTGGTGGCCCTCCACCTTCCTACAAGAGGTGCCCCATCTGTTTCCATCCCCTCTCCTTTTCTGTCCTCATGCTCCTTGGCCCTGCACTTCTGCAGTTTTCTTGCACCTCCTATGCCTTTGATAACTATGCCATATGCTGCCCACAGCACCCTTTCATAATTGCTAAGCCCGCTGGTGGCCCGCATCCAATATGGGTTATTGACCCATGTTTGCACTGTCTTACACTTGGACTATTTTTGTTCTGAAATTGTCCTCTGGGCGGGTGTGTGGGTGTGTGTAATTTCATTGTAAAATGTTGACTTCCTGACTTCTATTTATATGGATACGTCTACCTTTGTCTTTATCTTTTATAATCTCTGCCAGGGCACTACACATTTAGTAAGTGGTTCCTGAAGACTCAGTTCATTCATTTTAAAGCTTATGAGTAGTATTTACTTCAAACACTGGCCATTGTGGTACAGAAATAGTCTTGAAAATCAATGAAAAGAATATGTTACAAACCTACAGTAACTTAAAAGTCAGCCTTAGGTAGAGCTGATCAAATCACCCCCTCCTTACTGGAGAGGCATAATAATCAAATACAATGTGGGAGTCTCAGTTGGATTCTGTTATTTTTTTTTTTTACAAAAAGAAAAGCTATGAAATACAATTTAGAGATAATTGGAGAAATTTGAATATGAACTATATGGTGGATGATAGTAGGGAATTATTTTTAATTTTCTTAGGTGTAATCATGGTATGGTTATTTAGGAGACTGTTGTTATTTTGGGAAAACTTGTGATAAGGTAGTTAGGAGTGAAGTGCCATGCTATCTGTAAAAAAAAAAAAAGTCTATACACATATATAGAATTATACAAAAATACACATATAGCCAGGCATGGTGACTAATTTGCCCATAGTCCCAGCTACTTCAGAGACTGAGACAGAAGGATTACTGGAACCCGGCAGTTTAAATCCAGCCTTGGCAACGTAACCAGACCCCCCGACATCTCTTAAGAAAACAGTAATCCGGTTACATTTCGGTATAGCATACCAGTAGAGCATATTATAAACGTAAGGTTTAATTGAGTATTAATAAGTAAAATGGTGTAAATTAAAAATATACCTAAAACAAACATGCCAAAATGTTAACAAGGGATAAATGAGTGGTCATCATACTGTTTGTTCCACTGTTTTATATGCTTGAAGTTTTGCATAGTAAGGAGGAAAAAATATTCCCTCCTTTCTGTTACTTTCTGGTTCAGAGAGTTTGTGCCGTGACTTTATGTGTGATGATGTTAAATGCAACATGCTCGCTTAGGTGGGAGCTGGGTGTGCCAAAGCCCAAAGATGGGGATTGACGTAAAATCAGCAAGTAAAGACATGCGAGAGAGTGAGAGAGACACAGGTCAGTGGATATGGGAGCAGAAACCTTGGTTGAAGCTCTCAGCAAAGTTGGCTTATGGTTGTGTTTCCTCAATTCCTTGGCAGATGTGACATTTAAATTGGACGATGGAGCCATCAGTGCCCACAAGCCGCTGCTGATCTGTAGCTGTGAGTGGATGGCAGCTATGTTCGGCGGGTCATTTGTGGAAAGTGCCAACAGTGAGGTACGTGCCTTCCTAAAGCATAGTGGTGTCTTTATGAATGTGTGTGTGCCTGTGTATTTATATAAAGTGGGTAAATAGCCAGATGACTTTCATCCTTAAACTGGCTCCATGAAATAGCTCCTTAGCAGTGCTTGAGTGTTTGGTCACCTTTCTCTTAGCTCTGCAGTTTTGAGGAGTTATTGTTTATCAGTCACTTGTGTGGGGGCACCTGGGTGCTTTACATGCCTTGTATCTTTTCATCCTCAGAGCCGTCCTCATCCATGAAGACAAGATCAGCTGTACCTCTTGCAAATGTCACCAGGCATGGTACTATCAAAACCAAGTACAAGAGGACCATGTCTCCCAGTAGTTCAGAAAGTGAAAAGAGTTGGTCAGCCACCTAAGTCCTGGGCTTAGCTGTGCCCCTAACCAGACAGGGGACCTTGAGAAGCCACATTCTTGTGGCTCAACCTCCTCATCTGCAAGCTGAGGGATGCTCTAAATTGTCCTTCAGGTTACCATAAGCTACAATACTATCTAAGGCTCTGCCCTGACTTTGCCTGTGTTGAGGGGGTATGAGGGTTTGTTAAGTTTAGGGCAACAGTAATGGAGCGAACGTTTACTCCCCTGAACACACTTCTCAAGGTACTTAGGTCTAGTGAAATTAGCTGCATCACTTGTCAGCCACTGGCTCTATCTCTAGAAGAGGGATATGCTTAGAGCAGAGCAAACAACATCTTGGAGACCCTATGTCTTTGTCTTTCTTGTTGTTTTACTTTTAACTGACAAATAATAATTGTACATAGTCATGGGGTACCTGATGTTTCAATATACATATATTGTGGAATGATCAAATCAGGCTAATTAGCCTATCCATCACCTCAGATGTTTACCATTTCTTTGTGATGAGAACATTTAAAATCCTCTTTTAGCTATTTTGAAATATATCCAGTACCTTATTGTTCACCATACTCACCATACTGTGCAACAGAACACCACCAAAAAAATTATAGGTGCATTAGACTATATGCAACTGTGGTCCTAGGTCCTTGGGAGACTGAAGTGAGAAGAACACTTGAGCCCAGGAGTTCAAAGCTACAGTGAGCTATGATTGTGCCACTGTACTCCACCCCAGGAGACAGAGTGAGACCCTGTCTCTAAAAAAACAAAAGACAAAAAAAAAAAAGTACACCAGAACTTATTCCTCCTTTCTAACTGAAACTTCGTATATTTGACAGATGGCTTTCCTTTCCCCATCCACTTGCTAATCCCAGCCTCTGGTTATCACTATTCTACTCTCTACTTTGGAGTTCAACGTTTTTAGATTCCACATATAAGTGAGATGCTGTGATATTTGTCTCTCTAAACCTGGCTTATTTCACGTAACATAATGTCCTTTAGGTTCACCCATGTTGTCTTGAATGACAGAATTTTCCTTTTTTAGGGCTGTATAGTATCCCATTGTGTATATGTACCACATTTTCTTATCCAACCATCCACTGATGGACACAGGCAGACTCTGTATCTTGGCTATTGTGAATAGTGCTACAATTAACATGGGAGTACATCCTCTTTGTCTTTTTAAAAACTGTTGGAAAAGAAAAAAATTCAATTCAAGCACTTCTAACTTTAGGAGTGAGCAAGCATTTTTGTGGAGTTTTGCAAGTATTTTTAACATCTTTTTTTAAAAAGTAAAAATAAAAACATGGGTACACCCATGCAGTTTATTGTCCTAAGAGGCTTGTTTTGCTTGTCTCAGCATCTTTCCAGATTTTTCAAAGAAACGCAGAAAACAATAGCTAACTTTTCAAATGAGGCAGTAGCACAAGAAATTCGAGCACTCCCATTGTGACCCAGGAGCCTGCATTTGCATCCCCAAGTAGGGAAACAGAATCCTAGAATCACAAGCCTTGGATAGCAGGGGCTAAGATTACTAGGCCACTCTCGTGCATCCAGAACAAACTGCAGCTGCTCTTAAACCAACTGCCCCCCACTCCGCCCCCAGCAAAGGGCTATCTGCTTTTCAGGGAAAAAATATTAGAGTTATCCTGATGGCCTCTTACGGTGTCTAACAGCGTTTCTAAACTACAAGACTCTCACCTGTGACTAATGAAAATGTCTCCTGAGCTTGGGTCAGAGGTGTTTTGGAGCATCATTACTAAGACAACTGCAGTACATGGAATCTGCACAGTTACAGGACTGTGGGACTCAAATTGCAACTCCTCCACTTACAAGTGACTTGGGCAAGTGACTTAACCTTTCTTGGCTCTAAGTCTTCCCATCTGGAAAACAGTTATAACCCATACTGTGGTTGTGGGGTGTAAGAGTCATTACTTGCAAAGCACTTCAGAAGCATTACATAAATGGTAGCTGCCGCTGGACTTATTCTGATGTTGTTGGTAGTGATGATATTCTTTCCCTCTTGTGTCCAGGAAAAAGTTAGGGTAGCCACCAATTTGTAAAACCTCATCCAGTTGGTATTTCACTGACTTCAGCAATCTCTGGAGATAAAGAGCTGGGAGGCTTGCTCCCCTTCTTTGTCCAGCTCACTGAAGTGCTTGCTGATTGTGCAGCCGAGGACCTGCTATTCACAGAGCAGGGAGAAGTTGATCGAGGTCAGGAACGCAGGCACAAAGGGACACTGTCAGAGCTGACCTCACGAATGCTAATCTCCTTTATCCCTTCCAAGAATGGACTGTAATCGTCTCCAGATTAAAATGTGCAGTAGAGGTGACCAAAACAAAAACTTGGCAGCAAATGTGAATGCACATGTATATGGTTGTTTGATAACCTCTCCTGGAGGAGGCCACCTGTTTAGCACACCCTGCTGGAGAGACGAGGTCCCTCACCGCTTAGAACTGGAGTTGAGGCTAATAGGTTTGTATAGATTCAAACCAGCTCAAAAGACAAAGACCATGGAACCAAGCCACTGAAGACCTGTGCCACAATTCCTTTAGCCAGTATATTGAAAATGCAGTGAGCTGTTGACATTCTCACTCCTTCCCGTCCCTTCACTTTATTTCCTGTGCAAACTATAATATAGTCTCAGCCTGACCTTGGGCAAGTGGCTCACTCTAAACCTGTTTCTTCATCTGTAAAATGGGGATAACAAGAGAACCTTCGTCAAAGGGCAGAGAAGGCACGAGAGGACATGTGTAAAGCATTGAATTTGATGCCTAGAACATACAAATGTTCAATAAATGTTAGCGACTATTAAGCTGGAGTTTTCTTGTTAAATTCTTTCCATATGGGGTTAAAGGTATTTGCCCTAGAAAGCTCTAAGTTAAAAAGCCGCCAGTCCCCTTTCTAAAGTAGGAAAGTACAATTCAGGTGGTTATAGTTGTAGGGGAAAGGCACTCAGTTAATGCTTCATGATTAACCTAGGTCCATGTTCACACTTGGGATTTGGCCTTTGTAGGCCACCTTTTAACTTTCTATTATCTTGAGAAAATCTGAAAATCTGATGCCCGCCACCCTCCTGCCCCCCACCATGAAACTCAGCCTTTTTTGGAGAATTAATAGAATTAATGTGCATTAATCCAGAAACAAATGAAACATGCCTATGTCCATTGATTTTAATTTAACTTTTTTGTCATTTAATATTCAGGAAAACATTGTATCTTACTTATATTTTTTCTCATTACTTTTAATGTAGCAGTAAGCATAATTCTCTCCCCAGAGGTACTCAGCAAGTGGTTCATTAAAAATGCATGCCTGGGTTGTAGTAAGCAATGCTTTGGATCTAGGATACTTTCTCATTCTCTATGAGACTGTCTCTAATTATAAGCCTAATAGTCTCAGCTAATCTTCACAATTAAAATTTTAAACCAACTAAACTGCAAGATAGAACATTGTTTAGGGTAGCATTATATTCTCTTTGATAACTCTTTTTTTTTTTTAAGAAAAAAAAACTATATCCAGCAGGTAGGATGCAAATTTTTTTTTTATTCCATTATTTATGAAGCTTTGCTTATACTATTTTTAAAGTGCTATAAATAAAGGTCTTTCTGTTGTCATGCAGTTAATTATAAATGTTGAAATCACAGAAACAGGCTTTTTTAAAAATCAGCCATGAGGGGAAAAAAAATGCATGCTCCAAAAGTGTTCTGAGTTTATTCTAATTTGATTTTTTTTTCTAAGGGTCTCTAACGTTATTTGCCAAATAGAGCCATCACTTCAAAAAATGTTAACGTTATATTCAGCTAAAAGAAGATAGCAGGTCATAGGTGATTACAAACATCGGAGCACTTCGAGGGCGTTGAGGGTATTTGGGCAGCGTTGCTTACTCGAATCTGTCATCTGCTGCAGCCAGAAATAGTTTCTTGTTATTTAGGATGTTCATTTTGCTATTTCTTCTTTAAGCCATGACTTAGAACACACTCTTGCCAAAAAATGCTAAGGTAATCTGAAGATCTTCAAAACCCAGAGTTTCCGTGAAGAAAAAACTTTTAACAGCATCTATTCCAAATTCCTCCCATGTAACAGATGATGAGACTGAGGGTGAGAGAGGGTGAGTGATTTATCAAAGGTCATGCAGCACTTTAGTGATATATCCCTGGGCCTGCCCCAGGCTCTTGCACTATCACTAGAGGCATTGTTTTCAGAAGCACCAAACATCCCCAACTCTGAGAGAGCAGGTGTTAATAGGAAGCTCTGGGACTTTGTATATTAACAATTACTAACATCTTAGAGCACTTAGCACTTTGTAAAATGTGAGTACTTTCACTATTAAAATGATTCAAATTTTAAAGTTTCACAACTCGACCTTCAACTGTCTAAAAAACTATACTAATTGTATTAGTCCATCTTCACACTACTGATAAAGACATACTAGAGACAGGGTAATTTATAAAGAAAAAGATTTAATGGACTCACAGTTCCACATGGCTGGGGAGGCCTCACAATCATGGTGGAAGACAAAAGGCACATCTTACATGGCAGCAGGCAAGAGAGACAGTGAGAACCAAGTGAAAGGGGAAACCCCTTATAAAACCATCAGATCTCGTGAGACTTATTCCCTACCACTAGAACAGTCTGGGGAACCACCTCCATGATTCAGTTATCTCCCATCAGGTCCCTCCCACAACACATGGGAATTATGGGAGCCATAATTCAAGATGAGATTTGAGTGGGGACACAGCCAAACCATATCACTAATCCAAACATTATTTCATCAGAGAAATGAAATGTTACGTGTTCCTACACACAGAAACAAATTTGTTTGGATATCTGTAAATAAATCCATTATTTGTGTAAGATAAATGCACATGTATGTAAACATATATGTATGTGAGCATACACACGGTGTAACTGGTGCTAGATTTAGTTGAATAATTATTGATATGTGGATACAGCTGGTTAAAGGGAAGAATAACATTCCAACATCTGTATATTGCAGATGATCTAGCAAGCCCAACAGCTACTTTATTTTAAAGTAATCCCAGTAATAGTTTCAACTCATTGAGTTCTATTTGTTGTAGAGGTTGTGCTGGAAACCTGAAATGATCATGCTTATCAAATCATTTATGGTAATGACTTATGTAACTCATTTATGGAATTATTGTTTTCACCAACTGTGTCTGAAAGTGGGGGATAAATTCGTTAATATTTCTAGGAATTTTTCTAAACCTTCCCTGTGATATGTTAAGGGACAGGTCTACCTATCTGAAAGGATATTCCCTCTCTGAGGTGGCTAATGGCTGCATAGGAGAATAACAAAGAAGGTTTCTATAGCTTAGAACAGTTCTGGAGCCACACTGCCAGAATGCATGAGCCATAAGCACCCTGTAGAATGTGGAGCCATTATACATACATACATAACACACTCTCTCTCTCTCTCACTGTTTCTCTCTCTCTCTCTCTGTGTCTCTCTCTCACACACACACACACACACACACACACACACACACACACACAGAGTCATCCCTCAGTATCTGTGAGGGATTGGTTCCAGGACCACCCCCCCACCCACTCAGACACCAAAATCCATGAATGCTCAAGTTCCTCATATAAAATGGCAATGTATTTGCATAGATCGGTGCACATCCTCCTTTATACTTTAAATTATCTGTAGAGTGTTTCTAATACCTAATACAATGCAAATGCTGTGTAAGTAGTTGTTATACTGTATTGTTTAGGAAATAATGACAAGAAAAAAGTCTGTACATGTTCAGAACAGAGGCAGTCATGCCTTTTTTCAAATATTTTTGATCTACAGTTGGTTGAATCCACAGATGTGGAACCCACAGATATAGAGGTCTGGCTCTGTGCCTGTGTGTACCCGAGTGTGTGTGTGTGTGCCTGAGTGTGTATGTGTGCCTGACACTGTGTGTGTGTGCCTGAGTGTGTGTGTGTGCCTGACTGTGTGTATATGCCTGAGAGTGTGTGTGTGTGTGCGCCTGTGTGTGTGTGTGCCTGAGTGTGTGGGTGTGCCTGACTGTGTGTGTGTGCCTGAGTATGTGTGTGCCTGTGTGTGTGTGCCTGAGTGTGTGTGTGTGTGTGCATGTGCATGTGTATGGAGAGAGAGGTGCGATCGTATAAAATATATAGATGTAACCATGTTATAAAGATGTAATCATATATAATATATAGATATATATCTTTATATGTTGTATAGAGGTTTATTAAGTACGAGAATTAAGAAGTTCATAACTGGCCAGACACAGTGGCTCATGCCTGTAATTCCAGCACTTTGGGAAGCCAAGGCAGGAAGATAACTTGAGGCCAGGAGTTTGAGACCAGCCTGGGCAGCCTAGCAAGCCCGCCATCTCTACAAAAAAAGAATTAATAAAATAAATTAGCCGGGCATGGTGGTACTGCCTGTAGTCCCAGCTACTAGGGAGGTGGAGGTAGGAGGATAGCTTGAGCCCAGGCCCAGGCTATCATCAAGCCACTGCTGTCCAGCCTGGGCAACAGAGTTAGACCCTGTCTCAAAAAATGAATAAAATAAAAAAGAAAGAAAAAGAAGTTCATAATTGTTCATCCTTTTGAAGTAGAATTCTTACAAACCATTAATAAATTATGATGCTTTATTGTTGTAACTCAAACCTGTGCTTCTGTGGCATTAAACGTTTCCAGCACCGCACAGCAATTCTGAACATACACTTTCGCATCATACTCCCTGGGTTTAAATCCCAGTCACCGCTTCCTAGCTCTGTGACCTTGGACACAAGATTTAAATGAACCTCCTTGAACCTCCATTTCCTTTTCTGTAGAATGGCAAAAGTAAGTCTCTTCTCTCTAGGGCAGATATAAGCGTCAAATTAAAGAATGTGTGTGGAAAGCTTAGTGCAGTGCCTGTGCCTAGGATGCCTTCAATTACGATTAATATTTGTAACTGTCGGTATTCCAATAATCCAAGTGGTACAGTTCTGAACTACTCCAGGGCGTGTCTCATGGAGTTAGAGACCTAAAATAAAGAGTAGCTGCTACACAGTGTACATCTCCATTAATCCATGCCCACCTCTCCAGCTTTCCACCTCCCAGGCAGTGCCTGGCTCTCTAGCAAGCTCTAGCATGCATTTATATGGACAACTGCAGGCACTCATGAAGGAGACTGTGGGAATCCTACAGGGGACAGTTCACCTGTACCCAGTCATACTCCCCTGGAAGTCCTAAGCAAGGACTCCTTTGGATTCTCTGAATCTACTGATAACTGATAATGTTCCAGTAGTTCTGAATCCATGTGGTTGTAGGAAAAAATAATGAAGTGTATACGTTATGTAGTACATTGTAATATATTGTGCATATACTGACAGAATGTCAAAATCAAGCTGGTCACTGTGGCAGCTAGGGTGGTTGCTCAGCCTCATCCTCTGTTTTGACATCTTGGAGAGCTAGGCTCCATCGTGTCAGCAACAGTGTGGTTTGCAGCTCCCCCCAACACCTGTCATGTTGCTAGGAGATTTCTTTCCCCACAATAGAGTATTACAAGGTGTTTGGCATGAGGGCCCCTAATGTTATCATACATTTCCAGCCCATTTGTCTGATTTATAAGTCCAAATAGTCATTTAAAAATTCCACATCAGGCTGTGTCAGGCAGCTCCACTCTTTTGTCATCTACAAATCAAACCATTATGTTTAAAGTCATAAATACAGAAAGATTCCTATGCACAGCCTCAAAGCAGGTGTCCAACACTCGCCAATATCAAGTCACACAGGATATTTATAAGCAGCATAGCCTGAAAATGTGCCCACTCCCTGCTTTCTGCAGCAGAATTTAGTTTTTTGTATAACATTTCAGGTGTATCTCCCGAACATAAACAAGATATCAATGCAAGCAGTATTGGATTATCTCTATACCAAGCAGTTGTCTCCTAACTTGGATCTGGACCCGCTGGAATTAATTGCCTTGGCAAACAGATTTTGCCTGCCACACTTGGTTGCACTTGCAGGTAAGGCTGATGACTCAGGGCCATGCAGTGTCTGTCATATTTATCCAAAATCACATTTAAATAAAAATATGTTTACAGAGAATAAAAGTTGATTTTTTATCACTCAAAATAGGACTGTCTTGTGTAGAATGATATGAACTAATCAAATTACATCAGACAGCCCAATTCAATTCAACAAATACTCCTTAAGCACCCACTCTGTGGTGGACCCTGTTAGGTGATACAGCTATGAAGGTGAGTAATGCATGACCCCGGCCCTTGAGGCACACACTCTATGCATGCTGAGTCATTTGTGCACCCCAGAGTTTGAAATAATACTATTTTGTCAACATTATCTCCATAATAACTGCATAGACACAGTCTTTAAGAAGGCGGTAGATGCACTGTTTAGGAAAACAGATGACAGAGCCAGATTGCCTAAGATCAAGCCCTGACTCCACCATTTACAGACCAGGTGACTTTGTCCTGTAACCTTCGCTCTGTGTCTCAGCTTTCTCGTTCTTTAAAATGGGGCTAATATTATTCAGCCATAGAGCTGTTTTGAAGATTAAATGAGTTAAAATATAAAGTCCTTAGAACAGCGTCTGGCACATAGTAAGCATTATGTAAGTGGTTTTCTTAAAGCTATTTTAGAAAATGTTCTGACATTGTCAGGTTCATTTTGGGAGAAAGAGAAAAAAGGGAAACTTGGCTTAACTTCACAAAATTTTATGTATCATTTCTAGATTTGTTCAGTTGGGAAGCTGAAGCAGGTCTGTATAGGATATATGCACTTAAATGCCTGTCTCTGGAATTCAGATCTTCAGCCTCATTCACTTTACACCAGAGGTGTTGAGTCGCAAGCTGGGTGTTTAACACTGTTTAGTTGATTCCTATTAACCATCAAAGCAGAAATAAACAGTGCCTGTCTTGTTCACTGGCCTTTCTTCTGAGTGCCTGAGCATATTAGCTTTCGATAAATATTTGTTGAACAATTGAATGAATGAAGATGAGTGTATGAACAAACCAACCAGTCCTATCTGCACTTGACTTTCTGGCAATGTCTTTAGAAAAAATAAAGGATAGGCCGGGCACGGTGGCTCACGCCTGTATCCCAGCACTTTGGGAGGCCGAGGTGGGCGAATCACCTGAGATCGGGAGTTCGAGACCAGCCTGACCAACATGGAGAAACCCCGTCTCTACTAAAAAAAATACAAAATTAGCCATGCGTGGTGGCACATGCCTGTAATCCCAGCTACTCGGGAGGCTGAGGCAGGAGAATCGCTTGAAACCAGGAGGCAGAGGTTGCGGTGAGCCAAGATTGCACCATTGCACTCCAGCCTGGGCAAGGAGAGCGAAACTCTGTCTCAAAAAAGAAAAAAAAAAAAGATTATTTTCTCTGTCCTCTAGGCTTCTACTACACACAACCACCTGGAGATCAAAGTCCTCTCTTTGTCCTACTTCCTCCCCAGTTGTTGGATAGAAATAGCGAGTTGAGGCATCAATATTAGATTTATTTTTAAAAACTGTTTTTTAACCAATATACCTAATAGATCCAAAAGAGGGTGCTAGTTTTTTTAAATACTGACTCTGGGAGGCTTCAGTGGGCAATTACTTTCTTCAGAAACATGGGTTCCAAGCCATCTCACTATCCACAGGTTTTATGACATTAGTCCTGAGGATAAATTTTTATTTTATTTTTGAAATTGTCAAAAGTAATTTGGAGCCAAATCTGCCCAACAAGGTTTGTGATCAATCTCAGACTAGTACCATTTTTGCTTAAATGTTAAGTCTGGCAATGAAAACATGGGATTGATTTCTCCATGAAATTTTTTTTTTTAACTGACCCAAATAAAGCTTTTTGTGTGAACTCTAGACTTCTATGAACAATTAGTTTAGTTATTAAATGCTGTTGTTACTGTTACGATTATTTAATATACAGCTTCCCAAGATGATTCCTTTAATCCTTTATAGTATTTGCTTTGTACTGTCTAGTGTAGAGTGTTTAGAAAATCAGTTTCTAAATGGTGTTTAAATAGTGTTTAAAAATCAGTTTCTAGTGACGATGCTTTGTGCGCCCGTGTTAAATAAATGTCAGGAAATGTTGCAGTTACTTAAAACGACAAAGCCCAGATGACTTCTCTGGGCAGTTTAGTTCCAAATAGTTCAATCCAGGTGAGGAGGTTTGTGCCAAAGAAATCATTCCATTCCCGATACTATATTGACCAGATATAGGCATACTGACCGGTAAGCATGCAGAGCTGGAGCAGAAAGTAAGCATGATTTAGACAATGTGCTGGATTAGAAAAACAAATGCAATGCTACGGATGACATCAATGTCAAAGACCTAGAAATGCTGAGCCAAGGCTGTACCCTCACATGTCAGTCTCAGAGGCAGGCAACAGCCTTTACAAAGGAAAGAGATGTCTTAGCTTCAGGCCACAATGTAAATTCAGCTTGGAATCCTTGGACTCAAGCTCCCAAGCAGAAATGGCTCTCCCTACTGCATTTTTGTTACTTCGGACTGCGGGTCTCCCCAGTCTTTAGAATCCAAGAGGCTGAACAATACGTCACCATCTGTAGCTGTTGAGACAGATGTACGCAATCACATTTTTAATTCCTCGAATAGACTCATTCCTGTGTCATTCAACCTCTTCACTGTCAGGGGTATTAAGGATTGTGGTGATGTGAGTGGGGAAACTGTCAAACTGGAGCGTGTCTAAAGTCTAGAGGACTCTAGGAAGGTGCTAGAGTGTTTAGAGCCACTCCATCCAGTAGAACCTTCTGCAGTGATGAAAGCATTTCATATCTGGATGGTCCAAACAGTGGCCACATGTGGCTGTTGAGCACTTACTGTGGCTAGTGTGAATGAGGAGCTGAACTTTTAATTTCATTTCATTTCAAGTAATTTAAATTTAAATAGTCTCGTGTGGCCAGGAGTTACCATCCTGCACAGAACATTGCAGGTCTGGAGGATTCTGGCTATTTTAGAGCCATGAACAAGAGTCCCCAGAGGTGTGGGTGAAGTGGCTGGCACCAGAACCCCAAGTAGTGAAAGACCACACATCAGAGCAGCTTCTGGATTTAATTCAGATGGCTGCCCAGAGCTGTGTCCCACATTTCCTCCCTTCGTAAGTGGTCCCAGACCAACCCTCCAGGCAAGCTACCTGGCTTGCAGGGCATGGTTTAACATTCTCCGGCCCCCTTTTTCTTCCCCAGAACAGCATGCCGTTCAGGAGTTGACCAAGGCCGCAATGAGTGGCGTGGGCATTGACGGAGAAGTGCTCTCTTACTTGGAATTGGCTCAGGTTTGTATCAGTTTGCTTTTCACCTTTTAAGTGTGTTCAATCAGTTCATTTAATGCTGATAAAACATTCCATTGTTGCATCTGTCTAAATAATGATGTCACCACTGAGTCACAGAGGCCCCCTGTGTACACTAAGAAGATCTGAGAATTTTACCTTTCACGTACCATTCAGCCTGCTGGGCTTCATTTGAATAAACAACACGGTCCCCACACCAGTCCCATTGTCACCTAAGGCACCAGCTTCACATGTGGGAGAACCACTTGGGGGAGGTTTTGTCTCTCCTCCTTCTTTGAATTATTGGCCATGTATTTGGCCAAGCACAGACAGTTTCTAGAATCCTGTGAAGCCCTGCAATGACCCTCTGTTAATGAACATCTCACTACAGCTGTCCTGGAGTTTTCTAAAGTCAGTAGTTGCTAACATTCAGATTGTAATAACATAATCCCAATACAGACTTGCCGTCTTCTTCCAGAGAAGGTCCAAGATTCAGCTTCAGCTTCACCATGGAGTAACTTCCTCAAAGCACAAGCTAAACTCTGCCTCACTTTCCTCATCCACAGGAAATGGGATGACAGTTTGCATCCTACCAACCTTACAGATTATTTTGAGAATCAAGTGGGAGAGAATGTTCAAGAGCGAGCACTGAAGAGTGTAAGCCCTCTTAGAATGCCAGGCACATCTGCAGAATTTTCTAGTCCCTGGCATAGGCTGATTAACAATGAATTTACACTCTGAGGGAACTAAGAATAAATTCCTCTGTCTTTTCTTCAGCCTGTTGGGTTTGGCTTCCTGTGCTGCCTCTTTCCGTTAAGACAATGGCTTACTAAGTCTTATGTCAGTCCATTTAAATCAATATTTCTCAATCAAGGGAAAGGAGGTGGTTTTAGGGAGAGGAGGTGGCATCTAGCAGGTGCTGCTCAGGCCCTTCCTACTGTGGCCAAAGGAGATGACTCGGGTGCAAAAGGGAGAAAAGGCGGAATTGAACTTTACAGCGACCGATTCATTTTGACTTAGCATTCAGCAAATATTTGTTGTTTTTCTCCCCAAATACCAGGCACTGCCCTAGGCAAAGGACGTGTACATATAAATGGTAGATCCTCTGCCCCAGGGCAATCATAGGCAAGTAAAGGAAACAGACACAAATACAAATTATTAAAATCCAATTAGGGATTACATTGAAACTGAGAGTAGACATCTAATGCAATCGAATCAGCAAGCCCCCATCAAAACTGGTTGTCCACACTTGGAATTTAGGGTCTTTTGAAACAGTTCTGGGGGATGGTTTATAACTTGTACTCACTCCAGCAAGTATTCCTCCTAGAGAAAAATGTAATGATCCGGAATTTCATATCGAGACCACTCACTTGAGGGAATGATTTGCAATTGTGTCTGTGTCTGTTTGTTGCACTGTGTTCCCACCTTACCCCCACACATACCCACTACAAGGAAATAATATGATTATTGCTAAGCCCTGACAAGCCTTGGCAGGACGAGCTTAGGATGGATTCTCTCATGTCTTAGCTCGTCCATTAGACCCTAACCCAGTGATGTGCTAGTAAGTGTTTTAACAGTCAGCTTGGGGGCAAGTGGGACCCTAATCTGTTACATTTGCCAATTTCTATTATATAAATACTCCCATCATGGCTGATTATAGCATATGAAGTCACTAAACTCAAAGTAGGGAAGAAATGCACACAATTGGCTCTTTCAAGCTGGAACAAGCCCACCCGGCGGAACACTGCCCTAGTCTTGTTTTCAGAGAGAAATCTAACAGCAAGAGAAGTTGGAAGCACCAGCTAAAACTGTCTCTGATGTTTGGGTTGTGATTTTCAATGAGTCCCTCGAGTGGGTTTCTGAGATCTCTGGCTTTTGGCCTCACAGTGGAGATACAGGGCTGCAGAGGAAGCATGCTGTAGGTTCTAAGGTTCCACCTGACCAAAGAAACATCAAGAGTGACAGACAACAGAAGGGATGTCAGAGAAGGGCACAGACGGAAAGAGTGAGGGATCACGGCAGGCCCGCCAGGTCTGGAGAGGGAATGGGGGAGTTGACAGTCGAGTTTTGAGCATCTCGTATTTTTCAATCATAGCTACCTCAGCTGCCACCTTCCTGAGCATTGCTTAGAAAGGAAGGGTGAAGTATCTGGATCTGTCCACCCTGCCCATACTGCCTGCTCTTCTTATGTAACCAAAGGACAGGTATAGGACAGTCACACATTCTGCAGTCTCCTCTTTCGGATCTTGGCCCCAGCAAGCTGAGCCCTGACATGCGACACGAAGTATTCCATTGCCGAGGCTTCCTTAAACAGAGATGACATCGCTGCTTTCTGCTGTGGGCTGGTGTCTTCCAGAGGCCACGGTTGCTTAGCACTAGAGGGCCAGGTGGCAGGGGAGGGTGAGAGGGCGAGGCATACTTTAAGCTCGTGATTTGATACAGCAATTATTTTTGGTGCACCTAGGACAGTGGGGAAGGGAGGGGTGTGCCCAGCACTACATTGGCTGGCATCAGGGCCATGACCAAAGTCAAAACATTGAGGTCAAAACAAGAGGTTTACCAAATTAGTTATATAAGCCTTTCATTTATTTTCATCCTTACGATGGCTTCCCCAATTTCTTTGTAGCCCCTTTTAAAAAATAGAATCTTACCCTCCTTTTGCTCACTTTTCTGCAGTTTCACAATGCCCACCAGTTGGCCGCCTGGTGTTTGCACCACATCTGCACCAACTACAACAGTGTATGCTCCAAGTTCCGCAAGGAAATCAAATCAAAATCTGCAGGTGAGACTGTGCGAAGCCCCCATTCATCCAGCTCTCCTCACCTCTCATGGAAGCTTTTACCTTCTATGTCCCTGGAAAGGAACACAGTCAGCAGGCAGCTCATGGATAATTCCTTGAGACTAGCTGGTGGTCACATATTCATGTGAGATGACATAAAGAATAGAAGGCTGGGAATTCTCTTTGAAGAACTTGATGCTGAGGGGAGTTGGCTGGGCTGGAGTCCATGGTGCCCTGTTGCAGAGAGCGCAGAGGTGGGGGGCTTCCCCTTATTTAGGGAGGCAAGCTTAGGAGCAGGCTTAGACTCTCAAATCAGGTGGTCCTGGGTTCAGGTTCTCTGTGCCCAGCCGCATGACTACAGGCAAGAGATTCTTCCTCTCAAAACAGTGTCACTTTTTGCAAATGACCCTAATCACAGTCCCTGCCACATCACGTTTTTGAGAGAATATTCGAGAAGCTTTAAGCTCAAGGCCTAGCACGTAAAAAGCGTCAATGAGCTGCAGGTCTTATGGTCTGATTCTTTCCTTCACCAGACAACCAGGAATACTTCGAGCGGCACCGCTGGCCCCCTGTGTGGTACCTGAAGGAAGAAGATCACTACCAACGTGTGAAAAGGGAACGAGAGAAGGAAGATATTGCACTAAATAAGCATCACTCGAGACGAAAGTGGTGCTTCTGGAATTCATCTCCAGCAGTGGCCTGAAGAGGAAGAGAAAAAAAAAATCGGTAATCTGATCCACCACTTTTCAAAGCACTACTGTAAAATTCGTCTTGTTAGAGATACGACATAGTTCAGGTTTCAGACACTGACCTTCCTCCACTTTTGTGCATTTATCTTTGTTAGGATCAAAGCACAAGCTCACCATCAATGAGCCTGGACAAAAAGGGAAGCTGACTCTCACTGCATTCCTTAAACTGATATGTATATTTTTTTTGTTAGGAGGCTTAATAAACTTTAGTCTGTTATTTTGTTTCTTTTTATACAAAGAAAAAAAATCCAGCTTTCATGTTTCTGATTCCAAATTGGAAAATATTTTTATATGGTCTCTTGTATTTTGTTGAAATGAAAATACTGTGTATTACTTTATTTTACAGGCCACAATTGACTATGAAGTCACCCTGTGATTCTCTTTGCCCACATGACCACCGAGCATTATTACGTAATTAGAGGGTTATCCTTTTGTTGTGAAGGGAAGGAGGGGACTGAAATCCCCCAAAGTGCAAATTAGAGAGTGTTTAATCTTTGTTCTGTTGAATAACATCGGTGTAATTACAAAGTCAACTCCAAGAATGTGTATTTACAATATTTGCCGTGTTAAGTGCTGGTAATTATATGGTTATATGTGCCATGTAAAATATAGTGATATCAAATATTCTGTTGTTTCCAATGTCTAGTTGCAAGAGGATAATCTTTATAATCATTAGAAGGGCTTATTAAATCCCAACATTATCCAGGGCAAACTCACTGGTGGACCTGAATACGTAAGATACCGTTAGCGCGCTGGTGTTCCGATTGCTGTATTAGGGTTTACGTCTCTCAGTATTCCTTGAACTTGCCATGCTTCTGCATGCAGATTCTTCACTGACTTGAATTGAGATGGGCAAGGGAAAAGGTCCCTGGACTCCCTCCTGCCATCTACAGGCTTGTCACATCTCACCACCAGAAACAGGCTTCCTCAGGCTTCTCACCTGTGGCCAACTTCACTTTGTAAGACCCATATTTTTAACTCTTCCCAGGGAAAATTCATGTTTCTGCAGAAGTAGGCTAAGGCAGACCACCCACTTCTGCTGAAATGCATTGGGAGCCTGTGAAAGCACACAGCTGGAGGCTGGGCGCCTGCGTTCTCCTACACGGAAAGGAATCTCATTCCAAGAGTCTAGGAAATGGTGCTATTGTGAGTTAGTTCTGACTCTTTCTCATTCTGAGTTTTCAGTGTTAAACTAGGAAGTGTGAGAGCAGGGGAGCTTTTGTGAGGCAGTCAGTCATTGCTTCTCTGCAAAGTAAAATGTGACAGCACACATACACACACAGAGGGCATTTCGAGGCCACAGCTCCACACCTGCCATGGGATGTTATGTGGCAGCGGATGGGGCTCATTCTGTTGGGAGGTCAAGTTACCAATGCCAAGGGCTGTTGATTTTGTTTTTATTTTTATTTTTTCTTCTAGCTTTTCAGAAGATGGAAATGAGACAGTTAAGTCCAAACCCCAATGTTGACAGCCATATGCATTTGAAAATCTATCTAGATTACAGACGGGCATTTATTACTGGCAGTGGAAACACACCAGATAGAAGATCCTGGGAGAGGCCCAGAAATGCAGCACCTTGTCATGACAAAAGAGGAGGCAGCAGAGGAAGGATAGTTACAAATGCATCCACCTTAATTTTTTTCAGTAGGCTTGTACATCTTATTAATGGAAGGAGAAAGGAGACAGGAGAGGATAAATGTCAAGATGCAGAAGAATTGACATGTATCCCATCATAAAATGGTAGAAGTTGAGTTTTCAATGAGTAGTCATAGTTGAATTTTTACAACCAAAGCTCCCATTTGATTGTAATCTTGCCAAAATGTAATGGATGTATAAATGAACTTGGGGTATAAGCAATAATATCCACTGGTGTTGTTATCAGCTGCTGTAACCAAGTGGCTGGTTCATTTGGTTGATGCTGATTATGGCCTTTAACCATGGTGGTTTCTTGTGTGTTTTTTATTTCACAAAAAGCCAATAAAATTGTTTAGCTATAAAATGCCTCCAGTTTTGTTTTAAGGACAGACATCATATTGTGTGTGTAATTTAACAGCTTCTTTTTAAACTATCAATCAAAACGTTGAGGGTGCTGGATCATGGGAGCTTGTGCATGCTCCAGTAACAAAGAAGCTTGAATGACTTGTCATTTTTGTATTTGGTGGTGTCAGCAGAGATTCCAGTGTCATAATGTAAATGAAGTGCCTGGCGCTTTGTTCTTGGCTAACACAGTATGTCACTAGACATAGTGCTGCCCGGGGCCGGGTAGGGGGCAGGGGGAGAAACTACAACTATCCTAAAGGACTTAGCATAATCTGGGTTTAGATAATTTCCACCAGCAGTTAAGTGATAGGTCTGAGTTGCTGAGTTCAGGAAAAGTTTCTTGAAAAGCAGGTCTGAGAAAGCCTTTGTGAAAATGTCTGGACAATTTCTGGACTTCTAGGTAATATAGTGTTTACCCAAGCTCAGAGGGAAGAAAGTCTCCAGTGAGATTTCACTGAGGGGCTTTTCTGAATGACAGGCTACGTATAACTCTATGGGAAGGTGCTGACCACTGTAAGAAATAGCCGTGAAAGGAAGATAATGAGATTCCCAACACCTTTCTACCTTTCAGAGGTGGGTGGTCCCAGTCGTGGCACCTATTACATAAAGCATACCAGTTTCTTCTTCCCTGTAGAAAGTCGTGGTCTAAGTTTCTGGGAGTAATGTCTGGCAAATCATCAGGGATGTCAGCACCTTATGTTGGCATTCTTTTTCTTTTATATAACTTCAGCAAAGTTTCCTACACTGGCATTTTGAGAACCACAGATACTGCTGGTCTAAATGGAACTCAAATATTTTCATTATGGACACTCAGAAGCAAAATGTCCAATGTTTCTAAGAGGTTTTTTCATGCTTGCTTCCAATGTATGGTATATTAGTTGTCAAAATTCCGTTTTTCATCACTATGACACTGGCTAGGCAGAAGAAATACTACTAGTCAGAGGAAAAAAACAAAGTGAATCTTGAGTTTGGAAACAGTTTTATGAGTTCAACACTTCTGAATGAATGCTTATCTGCAAGCTGAAGATTTGCCAGCCCTTTTCATGAATTGGGTATTTTTTTTAATTGGCACAGAGATAGATAGATAGATAGATGATAGACAGACAGAGATCTCCTAGTTGGATGCTGGAGGGCAAATAGCAATAATTTCTCTTTTCTAGAAGAATGTGACTATTGCATAAAAGTCGTAAAGGTAAAAGTTAGCCAGGGAGAATGCATTTGTGTTATACATGTATGTGTGTGTAACCAGAAGCAGCATAATGAAGAAAAGGGCAATTTAAAAAAAAAAGAAAAAAAAGAAGAAAGGGAGGGAGGGAAAGGACTACTGAGGAAAGACACAGAATTGAATTAAACACTGTGAGTCATGGATATATTATTTATTTCAAAGTGCTAAATTAAGTCGAGAGATTACTGCATATCCCTCGACGTAATTTATTTTATGATGAAGACTGCTTTCTTGAATTTCCAATTAGGAAACAGGTGATATATGCATCATGAAAGGTTTAGACTTAGAAGTGAAGACACTGGGGTAGCAATACTAGTGACCTTCTTTAAAAGCTACATTTCTGTAGAAGTAATGCTATACCCCTTGGCTGCATTAGAAAATTCTCCCATGCTGACAGTGCTTCTAAATTGGATATTTTTACTTGAGCCATTTAGATGCATAGTTTTTTACTGGGCTGATATACAGGTGCTCATCAGTTAGATATTTACAGACTGTAGCCTATGAAATATGAAAGTAATTTATGAACAGGTAACTCTTGGGTGGAAACCAAGCAATCATGCAGTTGATATCTACAGACATGAAAGCATTATCAACGACAGTAGCAAACGTGAAGCGGCCTGCCTCTCCTGTTGTTCAGTTTCTACAGTGACATGGATTTCCAACAGAACATAGATGAAATGGGTGTTACCTAAATGTGGCCTCATGCTTCGAAGGAGTATTTAAGTTCTTTGAATATGTTCTCAATCCCAAATACAAGAATGGTTAGATGTTACAGGCAATCAGTGAGGACAGAATTGGTTCATTTCTTTCCACTTGGATGCCAACCAAAGTCTTGACTATTCTTAAAATTCCCTTCCAATATGGTTATATATATATATATATATATATATCTCCTTTGATTTGATGATTCATGGTAGTCCCAATTGGGGTGATACTTCCCTGGAAGGTTAAGTTCAACTGTCATGTGAAAAGATACATAACTTCTCTAAGCTTTAGTCATCTAGAGAATGGGAACAGATATCACTGTTTTCAGTACAAGTTAAATGAGATGATTCAGGTAAGGCACCCATATGCCAAATATCTTGGACATAGTAAGTACTTAGTGAATGGAAGTGAAAAACAGATGAAATGGAACCTGTGTGCTCAGCATTTTTGACCTTGGTTTTCTAGGCCAAAACCAAGGTCAAAAATCCAAGAGAGAAGACAATCATGCATGTTGCAGAACAGAGCAGTGTGGTCTTTTCCTGCCAGTCTCTTCAACCAAATGCTGACGTTGCTGCTTTAGTGCTTCATGACAGTGGTTTCACAATTAGAAAATAAGAGCTGTGATAAGGTAAATAATTATTATTATTAATAATAATGGGCTGGACGGAAAGGTGGGTGGTGGGAGAAAAGAAAAAAGGGTGACCCTTTCTAAGAGAACATTTGCCCTCACTAGGGCCTCCACGTTCTCTATTAAGTAAAGCCAGCCCACCTCAGGGCTGAGCTTGGCTGAACCACTGATTGACTCAGGAGCAATTCGTCTTCACTCTCCCAATCATTTTTTTCCTTCTTTTCTTGAGGGTTGGATGCAAAAAGTCTAGTTAGCCATGCTTCTCAGTGCTTGTCACATTGTCATCCTCAGTCAACACAAGGCCCTCTCTTTTTATATTTTCTCTTTCTTCCAAAATACCCACTCCCATCTTCTGTTCAATGTATGTCTTTAAACATGTGGGTTTCTTTATACACAGTGTTGTTTCATGTTCATAATTGTTACACAAATGGTGTTACATAGCAAATTTTCTTCTATCTACTTTTCTGACTCCACACTGTTCTGGAAATCTAGCCATTTTACAATGTGTGCATCTAGTCCATGGCTCCCCAGGGCTGCCTAACCTCCCATCTACCCCATGTGATTCCTCCATTCAACTGGTAATAGAACCACTAGCCAATTCCCATTCCTTGGCCCTACAGTGAGCCTTCTTGTACATGCCCTGGGGTCCAGATCTAAAAATGAATTCCAAGCTGGGCATGGTGGCTCACTCCCACAATCCCAGCACTTTGGGAGACCAAGGCAGTCAGATCACTTGAGGTCAGGAGTTTGAGACCAGCCTGGCCAACATGGTGAAACCCTGTCTCTACTAAAACTACAAAAATTAACCAGGTGTGGTGGTGCACACCTGTAATCCCAGCTACTCAGCAGACTGAGGCAGGAAAATTGCTTGAACCTGGGAGGCAGAGGTTGCAGTAAGCCAAGATAGCACCACTGCACTCCAGCCTGGGTGACAGAGAGAGACTATGTCTCAGAAAAAATAAAAATGAATTCCAGGTCCCACTCCAGATGTACTGAATCAAAGTCTCCCAAGGTGACAGGCATGTGTGGGAAGGGAACATCGAATTCAATGACCAAAATCCTTCCCTACCTTAGCACTAAGACAACATGCAAAGAATCTGAAAGGCTATGAGCCAGCCCAGAGACTGGTTCCTCTGACCAGCAAGAAGAGAAACTAGGTTTAGCTTCCTGCCACCTGAGAGGCTTCAAGAGGCTTCCCTGATTGTGAAAGTTATTACCTATTACAATGAGTTATTCCATCCCATCTGGCCTTGGCCTTTTGTATCATCTGACCCTTGTGAAAGGCAAGAGGCCAAGGTGACTTCTTAAGAGCTCCCTAAATACTAAGATGCCTGTTTTTCTGCGTTTAAAAAGCTTCCCTAGCTTGATTTAATCATGTCACAGTGTATTCAGATAGCAAAGCATCACGTTACAGACTATAAATATGTACAATTTTATTTGTCAATTATACCTTAATAAAGCCGGAGGGAAAATTCCCTAGTGAGCTTGTGCATATGTGTTGAAGGATGTCTTCTAATTTCATTTCACATGTGAAATCTGAAGAAAAGTAACCTTCCAGTACAAATTTTGGAGATTGTTGAAACTGCCTCGGAAGTCCTGGATAAATTATTTCTTGGACATAAAACTTCCCTATCTCCTAGTTTCCTGTCCCCCCTCCACAGAGCACACCACCTAATTAGATGGAGAGTGCTGAAATCACTGTGTTTTCTCTCTCAGCCCCTCTCCCATTATCAGGTTTGGACCCCTTTACCACTGTCACCAGGATACTACTTCACTTTATATACCTGAGATTTCTTTTTAAATGAGTAGTCAAGCCGGGGACAGTGGCTGAAGCCTGTAATCCCAGCACTTTGGGAGGCCGAGGCAGGCAGATCACTTGAGGCCAGGAGTTCAAGACCAGCTTGGCCAACATGGCGAAAACCCATGTCTACCAAAAATACAAAAATTAGCCAGGCATGGTGGCAGGCACCTGTAATCCTAGCTACTCAGGAGGCTGAGGCAGGAGAATCACTTGAACCTCGGAGGCGGAGGTTGCATTGAGCTGAGATCGCACTACAGCACTCCAGCCTGGGCAACAGAGTGAGACTCTGTCTCAAAAAATAAATACATACATAAATAAATAAATAATAAAATAAGTAGTCATCTGAAATTTTTAACTCTTAGAGAAATGGGCTTAACAATCTAAAAAAAAAAAGAAAAGAAAAATTAATGTGAACTGTCTTTTCAGCAAATGCTGTTCCGCTGGTTGCTTTTGCTCTTTTCTGCTTATGTTTGCATAGTTACCCCAGTGGCAAGGTCGCGGGCATGTTAAGATGCACTTTTATATGCTCTTTCAGTTTTATTCAAATGTTTCCGTTTTATTCAAATATTCCCATGGCCAACCAGAGGGATCAAAGGTGTA